GCTCTCCGCTCAGCAGGAAGCCTGCCTCCTCCTCCTCTCTCTCTCTCTCTCTCTGCCTACTTGTGATCTCTGTCTGTCAAATAAATAAATAAAATCTTAAAAAAAAAAAAAACAAACACTCCTTAAATGAGCCAGTCCACATTTTTTGGTAGTGGCAGTACAAAAAAATTATATTTTGTTGATGGCAGAATGTTCCTTAAAGTGGATGTTCGCTTCTAAGGTGCTGTATTAGTTTCAGGTGTACAATATGATGACTCAACAATCTATATATTACTCAGTGCTCATCACGATAAGCACTGAGAAATCTATAAGCTTCATGGCTTAAAATTACAATATAAAGATATGATGTGATAAAACTGTGCTTGGTGCTAGGGAACAAAAAAGACTGTAGGAAGTACAATTCCAAGAGAAAGGACCCCATGTAAACTCCACCCTGTGGGAACTTTTCCACGGAAAAGGAATTCAGTGAAATACAATTGTACAGAAATATACAGAGAATGCTTCTAATTTATAAGAAAAGAATATGAACTAATACACGCGATTTAAACAATGCCCTACATTTCAATAAATGGTGCTGGGAAAACAAGAGAGCTACATGCAAAAGATGAAACTGGAACAGTATGGGGAGGTTCCTCAAAAAAGAAAAAAAAAAGAGAGAGAGAGAGATGAAACTGGACCACTTTCTTACACAACACACAAAAATAAACTCAAAAGTGATTAAAGGCCTAAATGTGAGAACTGAAACCATAAAACTCCTAGAAGAAAATATAGGCAGTAATTTCTTCGACACCAACCAAAGAAACAGTCTTCCAGATTTGCCTCTTCAGGCAAGGGAAACAAAAGCAAAATTAAACTATTGAGGCTACACCAAAATAGAAAGCCTTTATACAGCAAAGGAAGCCATCAACAAAACCATAAAGCAACCTACTAAATGAGAAAAGATATATCCAATAAGAAGTCAAAATCCAAAATATAGAAAGAACGTATAAAACCCAACACCAAAAAATAAATATTATCTAATAAAAATGGGCAGAGGATCTGAATAGACATTTTTCCCAGGAAGACATCCAAATGGCCAACAGATGCTCAGCACCACTCATCACCAGCAAAATGCAAATCAAAACCACAGTGTGGTAACACTTCACACCTGTCAGAAAGGCCAGAATCAAAAGGGCAACAAATAACAAAAGTTGGAGAGGACGTGGAGAAAAAGAAACCCTAATGCACTGTGGGTGGGTATGGAAGCTGGTGCAGTCACTATGGAAAACATCAGGGAGGTTCTTCAAAAGATTAAAATTAGAATTATTGTTAAGATTAGTAATTCCACCACTGAATATTTACCCAAAGAAAATGAAAACACTAAACTGAAAAGATACATGCAGCTGTATGTTTCTTGGAACATTATTTACAATAGCCAAGATGTGGAAGTAACCCAAGTGTCCATTCACAGATGAATGAGTAACAAAGATGTGTACACACGTACACACACACACACACACACACAAACGGGTGGGGGGGAAGTAACCCAAGTGTCCAATCACAGATGAATGAGTAACGAAGATGTGTACACACACACACACACACACACACACACTCACACTCACACAAGAATATTACTCAGCCATAGAAAAGAACAAGATCTTGTCATTTTCAACAACATGGATGGATCTACAAAGTATAATACTGTAGTGCCTGGGTGGCTCAGTCATTAAGTGTCTGCCTTCAGCTCAGGTCATGATTCCAAGATCCTGGGATCAAGCCCCGCATCGGACTCCCTACTCAGTGGGAAGCCTGCTTCTCCCTCTCCCACTCCCCCTGCTTCTGTTCCCTCTCTCTCTGTCAAAAAAATAAATAAAATATTTAAAAAAAAAAGTATAATACTAAGTGAAGTAAGTCAGAGAAAGACAAATACCACATGATTTCGCTCAAATGTAGAATTTATGAAGCAAATGAACAAAGAAAAAAGAGACAAACAACACTTGAAAAACAAAGTATTTTATTTATTCATGTTTAGAGAGAACAAGGGGAAGGGGGGAAAGAGAGACAAATGGACTCTGCACTGAATGAGGAGCCCAACACGGGGCTCAATCCCGCAACCTGAGATCACGACCTGAGCCAAAACCAAGAGGTGAGCCAACTGAGCCACCCAAGTGTCCCAAAATAATAGACTCTTTTAAAAAAAATTGTTTAAATTTGTTATTAACATATAATGTATTATTAGCCTCAGGGGTACAGGTCTGCGAATCGCCAGGTTTACACACTTCACAGCACTCACCACAGCACATACCTTCCCCAATGTCCACAGTAAAATAACAGACTCTTTTTTTTTTTTTTTAAAGATTTTTATTTATTTGACGGAGAGATCACAAGTAGGCAGAGAGGCAGGCAGAGAGAGAGGAGGAAGCAGGCTTCCCACTGAGCAGAAAGCCCGACGCGGGGCTTGATCCCAGGACTCTGGGATCATGACCTGAGCCGAAGGCAGAGGCTTTAACCCACTGAGCCCCCCAGGTGCCCCAAAATAACAGACTCTTAAATACAGAGAACAAAATGGTGGTTGCCAGAGAGGAGGTGGGTGGGGGGTGGATGAAAAAGACAAAGGGGATTATTAAGAGTACACTTATCATGATGAGCACTGAATAATGTACGGAACTACTGAATCATTATACTGTACCCCCGAAACTAATATAAAACTGTATGTGAATTATACTTCAATAGAAAAATAAAAAATAAAATAATGCCCGGTAAAAATACTACACTTAAAATACTACACTTACCAAATTATTTAACCTGGACAGATCTGGCTTCTTAAGGTCTTACCTATTATATTATGTGCCCAAATTAATAAACTGATATAAATATGCATAATCACACTATCAGCCTAACCATACAACCTATCATGTACTAAGCTGATAATGATGTGACAAAAGTAATTTGTAATAACAATAATAAAAGATGGGACGCCTGGGTGGCTCAGTGGATTAAAGCCTCTGCCTTCGGCTCAGGTCATGATCCCAGGGTCCTGGGATTGAGCTCCGCATTGAGCCCTGCGTCGGGCTTTCTGCTCTGTGGTGAGCCTGCTTCCTCCTCTCTCTCTCTGCCTGCCTCTCTACCTACTTGTGATATCTGTCAAATAAATAAATAAAATCTTAAAAAAATAATAATAAAAGAATAGCAGCAATAAAACATTCTTACCCAAAATAATGGAAAAAAGCAAGAAAGAAGGGAAAATTACAACCAACTAAAGATAAAACCATGATAAAATTCTTCCTAGAAAACTGCTAGAATTCCAGTTATCTGCAAGGATGCTTGAATAATGTAAGATTTGTAACATTAAGATACTGAAGTAGAATCCTTGGTAAACTTCTTTATATGTTGATTTTAGTTCTGAATACCAAATTTTAGTAACCCCTAACTTACTAATACCAAGTCCTTAGATATATGAAGAAATAGAAGTTTTAAAATAATAGACAGTTTTATATTCAGAAGAAAGGACTGGAATTTTTGGATCCATTCCAGGGCCATCTTGAATGCCATTAAGGCTCACTCCCACCTACAGAACCACATTAAGTACCATTTTTAGTGCAAGGTAAAGTCCCTTCCTCCCCAACTCTCTCTCTTTCCCTCCCTCTCTCTCTCTCTCTCACACACACACACACACACACAGACAGGACTTCAAAATTATGATGATACAAACAGAAAATAACCATTAGGAAAACACTAGGAATTTATATAGGGCAATACGCTTAAAATATCTTATATGTGAAATGCTTTGAAGTTTACAGAGCTCTTTTAAGTGCATTATTTTACTAATACAGCCATCCTGAGAAGATGAGGTTATCACTATTTTAAAGACCAGAAACCTGAGGTTAAGAAAATTAACTAGGGGGAAAAAAAAAAGTTAAGTAAAGTAACTGGTTCAAGGTCAAATTAGACATTTGATTACGTGGCAGAGCAGGATATTAATTCAGACTTCTTGTTCCTAGTTCAAGGTCTCTAAAACCCCAACTACTACAGGCCAAATCTAGAAATCAAATGATATAAAGGCTTTGGAAGACTAAAAAGAACTAGAAGGTTATTATGAAGATCATTTGCACCAGTGAAATACCTATGCCAAGGCCTTAACCTGAGCAATAACATCTCTCTGGACTAGTCATTAAGACATTGCAAAGAGGTCCAGATGATTCTATCATGCAACACAGTTGAGGACTTCTGATCTCTATCAGATGACACAAACTGCAACAGTGCATTTACAAGCACGTTTTCAACTACCATTTGTATTTTTATATTTTCCTTTCATACAAATTAATCATCAGTCCTTAATTAGCTACAGTGACAGAGTTTAATAAAGCCAAAGTGCTAACTTTAAAGACCTCAGTATTAGCTATGAGAAAGGTGTATAACGCTGCATAAGAGTAATTACACAAAACTAAACCCTCTGTTCTAGCCAATAGCTAGAATATTCAATTAAAATGTATAGCCTTCAATTTGTGCTATTAAGAACATTTAAAAATCATTATCTTCATCTGAAGGAAAAAAATCCCACAACTTCTATAATATTACATCTACGATGCTCTCACTGAGGAGCAGGAAGCTACTACACCAAACGTAATATATGCAAACAGCAGCTGAGGTCCTTGTGCGACATATTAGATGGCAATTAGCACCGAAAATCATTTTAATAAATACTGGATATTGAACCACCCTTACCTTTTGTAGACTTGTCGGATTCAACTGAGTTTTGTCAATTATTTTTATTGCAACCTAGAAAAGAATAAATAAATGTTTATAGATTTTACAAATTTAGTAATTATAGACTAACTGGTAATAGTCTTGTAAATGCTCAGACATGTGGGACATGAGAAAGACAGAGCGAGACTGATTATATAACGAAAACACTTCAAAAACGTAGGACAATGAAGCAAATCTATTCCCTATTTAGTAATACTTAAGAATTAAAAAAAAAATTTTTTTTAAATTTTAATCCAAAGGCAAGAGTGGGTTGTGGCTGCACCATTCCTGGAAATACTGCAATACCAGGTCAATGCACGGAGCAGACGGAGCAAGCTCCTATTCCATTTCCTAGTTCCCAAAATCCATCTCATGTACTGTCCTCAGGGAGGGGATGTAGCAGATATTAAACTGAGAAAGAAGAGATACTATTATTGATCTTAGCCAAAAGGCTGAGAAGCAATCCAATATTTTAATTTCATCTGATGCTGGGATCCAAGGGCAGGAAGGACAGCTTTTACAGACTTACATAGCCCAGAATGCCTTGCTCACAGTGTCTTACACACGATAGGAGGTTGATAATTAAGTAAATAAATGAACTAATAGGTTGGAGTTCAATCTGAAAACTTTAAAAACATTTTACTAAAAAAAAAATAGAAAAGATCTTTTGGTAGTTAAAAGAAGGAAAACAGACTAGTTCCAAAACAATCTGTAGGCTAACCAAGTGAAACATGTACAGAGGCAACAAATGGATTACCCGGTCACTTTTGCTCAAAAAGGGGCAAGTAAACCCCAAGCAGTCTTAAAACAAGCCACTAAGATACAGAAAGAAAGATCTATAGTTTCCAGCCATACAAGCTTATCTTTAAAAAAGAAAAAAATTAGTTTTACTAATATTTACTAAGTGGACCTGCAGCAGCGTCCTTATCTGATATATTGTCATTTCTAGAATAAAAGTGACTTCTAGAACTAGGGTTATCAGAATGAGGGGAGAGGGTAACAAAAGGGGATGAAAGGGAACGTAAGTGAAGAAAGAGGCTTTTTTCTATATGTATATGTATATGCCCCAGCGGCACAGGTCTGTGAATTGCCAGGTTTACACACTTCACAGCACTCACCATAGGACATATCTTCCCCAATGTCCATAATCCCACCACCCTCTCCCTACCCCCTTTCCCCCGGCAACCTTCAATTTGTTTTGTGAGATTAAGAGTCTCTTATGGTTTGTCTCCCTCCCGATCCCACCTTGTTTCATTTATTCTTTTCCTACCCGCCAAACCCCCCACGTTGCATCTCCACTTCCTTGTATCAGGGAGATCATATGATAGTTGTCTTTCTCCGACTGACTTATTTCCCGCTAAGCATAATACCCTCTAGTTTCATCCACATTGTCGCTAATGGCAATGTCCACAATAGCCAAACTATGGAAAGAACCTAGATGTCCAACAACAGATGAATGGATAAAGAAGATGGGGGGTGTGTGTGTGTATGTGTGTGTATAATGGAATACTATTCAGCCATCAAAAGAAATCCTCGCCAGCATCTGTCATTTCCTGACTTGTTAATTTTAGCCATTCTGACTGGTGTGAGGTGGTATTTCCCTGATGCTGAGTGATGTGGAGTACTTTTTCATGTGTCTGTTGGCCATCTGGAAATCTTCTTTGCAGAAATGTCTGTTCATGTCCTCTACCCATTTCTTGATTGGATTATTTGTTCTTTGGGTGTTGAGTTTGATAAGTTCTTTATAGATTTTGGATACTAGCCCTTTATCTGATATGTCGTTTGCAAATATCTTCTCCCATTCTGTCAGTTGTCTTTTGGTTTTGTTAACTGTTTCCTTTGCTGTGCAAAAGTTTTGATCTTGCTGAAGTCCCAATAGTTCATTTTTGCCCTTGTTTCCCTTGCCTTTGGTGATGTTCCTCGGAAGAAGTTGCTGTGGCTGAGGTCAAAGAGTTGTTGCCTGTGTTCTCCTCAAGGATTTTGATGGATTTCTGTCTCACATTGAGGTCCTTCATCCATTTTGAGTCTATTTTCGTGTGTGGTGTAAGGAAATGGTACAGTTTCATTTTTCTGCATGTGGCTGTCCAATTTTCCCAACACCATTTACTGAAGAGACTGTCTTTTTTCCACTGGACATTCTTTCCTGTTTTGTCGAAGATTAGTTGACCGTAGAGTTGAAGGTCTATTTCTGGGCTCTCCATTCTGTTCCATTGATCTATGTGTCTGTTTCTGGGCCAGTACCATACTGTCTTGATGACGACAGCTTTGTAATAGAGCTTGAAGTCTGGAATTGTGATGCAACCAACTTTGGCTTTCTTTTTCAATATTCCTCTGGCTATTCAAGGTCTTTTCTGGTTCCATATAAATTTTAGGATTATTTGTTCCATTTCTTTGAAAAAAATGGATGGGATTTTGATAGGGATTGCATTAAATGTGTAGATTGCTTTAGGTAGCATAGACATTTTCACAATATTTGTTCTTCCAATACATGAGCATGGAACATTTTTCCATTTCTTTGTGTCTTCCTCAATTTCTTTCATGAGTACTTTATAGTTTTCTGACTATAGATTCTTTTTGCCCCTTTGGTTAGGTTTATCCCGAGGTATTTTATGGTTTTGGATGCAACTGTAAATGGGATTGACTCCTTAATTTCTCTTTCTTCTGTCTTGCTCTTGGTGTAAAGAAATCCAACTAATTTCTGTGCACTGATTTTATATCCTGACACTTTACTGAATTCCTGTACAAGTTCTAGCAGATTTGGAGTGGAGTCTTTTGGGTTTTCCACATATAGTATCATATCAGAAGAAAGAGGCTTTGCCACGAACTGGAGAACATAACTCAGCTTTGCAATTGAAGTCCAGGACCACAAATGGTCTCACCACACACTGAGGATGCTGTATTCCTACTGTGCATCCTTCAGGACCAGATCCAGCAAGAAGCATCACTGAAGAAAGGGAGTCAAAGTCTGGGAAAAGTGCTTAGAGACTGCCTCGCAAACTTTTTGGTCTCCTTTACACTCTTAAAGATTACTGATGATCCCAAATGTGGGTTGTATCTATTAAAATTTACCTTATTACAAATGAAAACTGAGAAATTATAAAAATAAGTATTGAACATAACAAGATTCATTTCAACGTAATATTTAACAAATGGTGCTGGGAAAACTGGATATCCACATACAGAAGAAGGAAGTTGGACTCTTACCTAACATTATCTATAAAAATTCCTGCAAAATGCATCAAACACCTAAATTTAAGATTTAAAACTACCAAACTCTTAGAAGAAAACAGACAGCAAAAGCTTCACAATACTGGACTGGGCAGTGATTTCTTAGATATGACACAAAGGCAGAGGCAACAAAAGAAACAGCCAAATAAGACTTCATAAAATTTTTGTGCATCAAAAGACAATATTAATAGAGTAAAAGGGCAACCCAGACAATGGGGAAAATATTTACAAATCATAGATGTGAGAAGGGATTAATATCCAGAATATAGAGAGAACTCCTACAACTCAATGACAAAAAACCCAACTGAAAAATGGGCAAAGGCCTTGAAGAGACATTTCCTCAAAGAAGATACACAGCAGACCCCTGAACAATATGGGGGGGCACCATCCCTTTGACAGTTGAAAAATCTACGAGTAACTTTTGACTCCCCCAGAACTTTAAATAGCCTACTCTTGATGGGAAGCCTTACTGATAATATATACAGTTGATTAACACATCTTTTGTATGTTGTGTGTGTTTTTACAATAAAGTAAGCTAGAGAAAAGAAAATGTATTACAAAAATGTTAAGAGAAAATACATTACAGTATTGTATCGCATTTATAAAAAAAAAAGATCTATGTATTTGTTTTTATGCCAGTACCATGCTGTCTTGGTGATCACAGCTTTGTAGTAAAGCTTGAAATCAGGTAACGTGATGCCCCCAGTTTTATTTTTGTTTTTCAACATTTCCTTAGCGATTCGGGGTCTCTTCTGATTCCATACAAATTTTAGGATTATTTGCTCCAGCTCATTGAAAAATACCGGTGGTATTTTGATCGGAATGGCATTAAAAGTATAGATTGCTCTAGGCAGTATAGACATTTTAACAATGTTTATTCTTTCAATCCAAGAGCATGGAATGGTCTTCCATCTTTTTGTGTCTTCTTCAATTTCTTTCATGAGTGTTCTGTAGTTCCTCAAGTACAGTTCCTTTACCTCTTTGGTTAGGTTTATTCCCAGGTATCTTATGGTTCTTGGTGCTATAGTAAATGGAGTCGATTCTCTAATTTCCCTTTCTGTATTTTCATTGTTAGTGTATAAGAAATCCACTGATTTCTGTACATTGACTTTGTATCCTGCCACATTGCTGAATTGTTGTATGAGTTCTAGTAGTTTGGGGGTGGAGTCTTTTGGGTTTTCCATATAAAGAATCATGTCATCTGCGAAGAGAGTGAGTTTGACTTCTTCATTGCCAATTTGGATACCTTTTATTTCTCTTTGTTGTCTGATTGCTGTTGCTAGGACATCTAATACTATGTTGAACAAGAGTGGTGAGAGTGGTCATCCTTGTCGTGTTCCTGATCTCAACGGGAAGGCTGCAAGCTTTTTCCCATTGAGGATGATATTTGCTGTGGGTCTTTCATAGATAGATTTTATGAAGTTCAGGAATGTTCCCTCTATCCCTATACTTTGAAGCATTTTAATCAGGAACGGATGCTGGATTTTGTCAAATAGACCAGTGGAACAGAGTACAGAGCCCAGATATGGACCCTCAACTCTATGGTCAAATAATCTTCAACAAAACAGGAAAAAATATACAGTGGAAAAAAGACAGTCTCTTCAATAAATGGTGCTGGGAAAACTGGACAGCTATATGCAGAAGAATGAAACTCGACCATTCTCTCACACCGTACAGAAAGATAAACTCAAAATGGATCAAAGACCTCAACGTGAGACAGGAATCCATCAGAATCCTAGAGGAGAACATAGGCAGTAACCTCTTCAATATCAGCCACAGCAACTTCTTTCAAGATATCACTCCAAATGGGGTGCCTGGGTGGCTCAGTGGGTTAAAGCCTCTGCCTTCGGCTCAGGTCATGGTCTCAGGGTCCTGGGATCGAGCCCCACATCAGGCTCTCTGCTCCGCGGGGAGCCTGCTTCCCCCTCTCTCTCTGCCCGCCTCTCTGCCTACTTGTGATCTCTGTCAAATAAATAAATAAAATCTTAAAAAAAAAAAAAAAAGATACGTCTCCAAAGGCAAAGGAATCAAAAGCGAAAATGAACTTTTGGGACTTCATCAAGATCAAAAGCTTCTGCACAGCAAAGGAAACAGTCAACAAAACAAAGAGGCAACCCATGGAATGGGAAAAGATATTTGCAAATGACAGTACAGACACAAGGTTGATATCCAGGATCTATAAAGAACTCCTCAAACTCAACACACACAAAACAGACAATCATATAAAAAAATGGGC